CCGGACCGCCGCAAACTAAAGACACACCTCTTCAGACTCTACCTCGACTAAAGACTAACGAATTGTAGCACTTAAATTGTACTTGTAACGTCACTCACCTATAGCAAATTGTAAATTGGCTTATTTGAGGAAATTGCACTTTCTTGTTTCTTGTTCTCCTTAGTTTGTACCCTATGGTTGAATGCACTTATTGTACGTCGCTTTGGATAAAAGCGTCAGCTAAATGACATGTAATGTAATGTAATGTAATGCCTTACGGGGATTTAGTCTTCTAAAGAGCCGGTTAACGTCTCTCTCCAGAATAGAGAGGGTCGTTGCTGGTGGGGGAGGGGAAGGCGATATAGTTGAAGAGGCGTGAGCACCTGATGGGCTGGGGGAGGGAGGGGAGGGGGACTGCAGCAGGTTGGTGGAGCTGTCGGGGATGGGATCAGGACATTGTCTTTCAAATCTGCAGTAGAACTCATTCAGCTCGTCTGCCAGGCGGAGGTCATTCATGGAGTGGGGGGTTTTTGGCTTGTAGTTGGTGAGGTGTTTGAGGCCTCTCCAGACCGAAGCAGAGTCACTTGCTGAGAACTGTTGTTGGAGTTTCTCAGAGTACAGTCGTTTAGCATCTCTCACCGCCTTGCTAAACTTGTATTTTGCCTCTGTGTACAAGTCTTTGTCCCCACTCCTAAATGCCTGATCCTTCTGCAGGCGTAGTGTTCTGAGTTCCGCTGTGAACCAGGGTTTGTCGTTGTTGTAACTCACCCTGGTGCATGATGGTACACAGCTGTCCTCACAGAAGCCGATGTAGGAAGTTACAGCCTCTGTGAACTCATCCAGACTGTCAGTAGCAGTCCTGAAAACATCCCAGTCTGTGCAGTCAAAGCACGCCTGAAGATCCTCCAGCGCCTCACTGGTCCACTTCTTGAATTCCCTCACCACAGGTTTGCAGAGCTTTAGTTTCTGCCTGTATGCAGGAATCAGATGGACCATGACGTGGTCAGAGTGTCCCAGTGCAGCACGAGGGACGGCGTGATAAGCCCTGCTTACTGTGGTGTAACAGTGATCCAGCGTGTTCTCCTCTCTGGTGGGGCATTTAATAAACTGTCTGTATTTAGGAAGTTCGTGGGTGAGATTTCCTTTGGTAAAGTCCCCGAGGACAATAACTAAAGAGTCCGGGTTGGTCCGCTCCACACGCTGTATCTGGTCGGCTAGTGTCCGCTGTGCCTCGTGCACGTTGCCCACCGGCAGCATGTAAACACCGACCAGGATGAATGAAGCGAACTCACGGGGGGAATAAAAGGGTTTGCAGTTGATGAAAAAAGTTTCCAGATCAGGAGAACAGTGTTGTAGGATCACCGTTACGTCGCTGCACCAGCTGTTGTTGAAGTAGAAGCAGATTCCTCCACCCTTCGTCTTGCCGGAGAGCTCCGTGTCGCGGTCCGCTCGGAGCAGCTGGAAGCCCGCCAGCTGGAGCGCGGAGTCCGGTATCGATCCGCAGAGCCACGTCTCCGTGAAGCACAAGACGGAGGATGTAGAGAAGTCTCTGTCTCTCCTCATCAGCAGCTGAATTTCGTCCAGTTTGTTGCACAGTGAGCGCACGTTGGAGAGAAAGATGCGTGGCAGCGGAGTGCGAGAACCACGCCTGCGGAGTCTCACCAGCGAGCCGGCCCGTTTTCCTCTCCTACGGCGTCTCACCGCGTGACGAAAGGTGAGCGCACCTTTGACTATAATGTCCAGTAATTCCACGGAAGAAAGCAGGAAAGTTGGAAGTAACTCCGCTGGAGTTGTTCCACGGATGTTCAAGAGCTCATCTCTGGTGAAAGAGCTCCGGGAATCGCAGCAGCAAACGTAATTAACAACAAAAACAACAAAAAACAAAGCGCACCGAAGCACCGTGGCGGCCATCAACGGCGCCATCTTGACTTTTAAGATTAAGAAGGTAGAGAAATGCCATTTTTCCAACTTGAATTAGTTCTTATAAAAGTTCAAAGAATTAGGCATTGTAATATTTGGGTTGTTTGTCTGTTTTGTTGTTACGGGCCTGTCCTAGGCCTATTTGTGCTCATTCTTTGCAAATTCACATTTACTTCAATAAATGTATTATGATTGTTAAAACTGTATCTATGTGTCAGAAAACTGTCCTATATAGGTGCGCAATAAATTGTGGCTACGCTACGGCTTTCGATATGGCTTGGTAGATCTCGATACACTATCAACTTTAAAAGTAGATCTTGGTTCAAAAAAGGTTGGGCACCCCTGCTTTAATGGATCACCATGTGTCTCCCTTTACACGCATAACATCAACTGTCACAGTATATGCGCAAGCGCACTGGACTACCATGTATGACAGCATTAAAAAGTACAACACACACAAATATATTTGTCAACAATAACTGATAACTGACAACGTGGACCGGGACCCCCCACGCTCGCACACCTTAGACGACTAGTCGAACAGACGTCTCTCCCTGCGTCATGTGACTCACAACAACTACCGGCTGCTCTTTCCTCTACGTCGGCTCGGCGCCTTTATTTTATTTTTGCTCCGCGCGCATCTCCGCAACTCATTGAGTGACGTAATAATCGCGCGACACAACGAATCGATAATGAAATTTGTTGCCCACGCTTTTAATAATCAATTTTATCGATTCGTTGTTGCAGCCCTAATTCTGATTTAGCCTGTGAAGGGAAGGTAATACATGTATCTGCGTTTGAGCTTTGGGCCCAAGTCACAGCAGGCTCCCTAAACCGACGAGTGCTCCGATGCCTGCCTCAATTACGTGTTCTGTCTCCCGCGGCTTCTCTCTCACCCAGCGCTGTCTGTTCTTAGCACCATGTGTTCGGGTTTGCAATTAGCAGCTGTCTCCTGTCCCCTCGGGGCTCCGCTGGGGGAGGGAGGGGTCTTGAGTGTATATCGCATTTTCTACGGAAGGAAGAGTCTGTTACGATTGCCGAGTCACAAGAGCAGAATTAGCAAGTTTAAAATCCAAAATCGGCCCTCATTGAAAATTCTAAATGTGTGGAAGAGACTCAAACTGCACGCTTGCCATTACCTCCACACCCTGCATCTCGTATGGACAGGATTCATTTTATCCGTGAGTCCGACGTTTATTTATGGATCATTCAGTATAATGGTTTTCAAATACACAACTATTTAAGCACGTAAGGCCTCTAGCTTCAAAAATAAGGATTAACTGTAGATGTTTTCTCTGGTGTTCATTTAATGGGGAAAAGTAAACTCGGTGCTGCAGGATGGGCCGTCTGCGGTCCTGTTGAGGGGCCCAAGGGCAGCAACCCAGGCAAGGCCAGAACGGTTCACTCTCCGATTTCTCATTGCTTTTTTCCACCGAAAAAAGTACCCGCCCGAATGCTGATGCTGTGTACGCTCGACGTGAAGGCTGAGCGCTAACGAGTTAGCCTTTCATTTCATTGTCCAGCGGAGGGAACTTTGATGCTCCTGCATTTCCTCCCTCAAATCCCCCATTTAGTACAATCTGGTGTCTGCAGGAGAGGAAGGAGACGCGTGTGAGATATTCGGTCCAATCCCACTTCCTCTGATTTTGTCACACGATTTCTGACCAACTTTTAGTGATTGAACCCCAATTTGCACGCTCCAACTTGAGACTGTTCACATACGAGGCGC